AAAACTCAACGGTTTGACACAAGCCCTAAAAATTATTTTACTCAGAATTTTGTTGCTGAATTCAAATAAAATAATGTTTAGGTGAAGTGGTGAAATCTCACCTCTTTTTTCACCTCTTTTTTCACCTCTTTTTTCACCCCAGTTTTTTCACAAGCGTTTTACATGAATTGTACGAGTATATTTGAAATCCTAAACAATTTCGTAGCTTCTATTTCTTCTGTCAGTATGTCAAAAGTTTTAACAATACCGAAAGTCTCTTATATACTTCTTCTTGACATCAGATAGAAGGAAATCTTCTGCTGTTGGATAATTTTATTAAGAAATTCTAACATGTTCATTTATCTTCTGCTGGCTTTTCTGCTTCTTTCTTTAAGTCTGCATAGTCGTTTCGCATTCTTTCTATCTCTTTGACTGAGTAGTTATATTTCCTAATTGCTGCCTTACATTTTGAACATTGCGGGTTCATTTTTGCGTTATATTCTGAAACCTTACCTGCTAGAACAACTAAGGTGTCAATTGCTCTCTTCATCTCAAACATAGCGGGTCTTATCTGTTCATTCCATACCTTACCTCTTCTATCTTTATCTCTTATCTGCCATACACATTCTGCAACTAATGAAACAAAGTTATCGTAAGTCTTAAACTCCTCAGATTATATATGTCAGAAATGTTTTTATATACCATGTCGCAATCTTTGTCCATAACTTTATGGTTGCAATGAAAACCAAGGAATTCATAATTTACTTTACGAATGAACTTCTTTATTTCTACTGAGTCAGTTGTTTTGACTTCAATTTCGTCGAATTCAGGAATAGTTAGTTTTTGCTGTTGGATTTCAGGCAATTTGGGTAAATGGTCAATAATGTCCTGCATTTCATAAAGATACTGTTCATTTGTTTCATCTTTCGCACTACAGTCTAAAGTACTTGTTAAAAGTTCTTGCTTTATCTTCTGGATTTTTGTTTCGAAAGTATATGAAGAAGGAATGAAGTTTTTCATCTCTACTAACATTGACGTAGGATTCATGACTAACGAGTTTGGTGCTGTTTGTTGTGGACAGAGTCCGCCGTTCGCGCCTTGAATTGTTGTTGTGCCGATTGTTGAAATCATATCTTTTTATAACAAAATAAATAAATAAAAATAAAATTAGCGTTATTTTTGGTCTTTGTGAAAATTCATGAAAATTCAAGAGGTGAAAAAAAGAGGTGAAAAAACAGGTGACATCTCACCTCTTCACCTAAAATATATTTTTTGGTGAATTCAATAAAAATAAGCCGCTAAGCGGCAAGGGCAAAGCCCATGAGTTCATTTACTCACAATATTTTTGTACAAAACAACCCAAACTTTTAACTTCTTTTCTGCAGCTTCAAATGCTATCTTAGCGAGTTCATATTCTCTAAATTCTCTTCTTTAAATCTTCTTGTTCCCATTGGTCTAGTTTCGTATGGGAGATCTCTATAACCATAACATATCTCACGTTCATGTTCTAATTGTTTTTCACACATTTTTCCAACTTCTTGTTCGAACAAAGGTTTTGCATTCTCCACTGTATCTTCGAGTTCTTCTTCATCTAACTTCTCATGAACTTTCTTGTCTATGGAGTCCATAATATCTTTGACATAAAATGCATACTTTAACAGAGCACCATTCAGCAACAAAAATGAACGAGGTCAGGATGTATGTAAATACCTTTGAATTCATTCATAACACCCTTAGTAAGCTCATAAAATGCTTGTTTTGAGGTCGAGCCACTTTTGGCTCCACCGTATTCGTTCATCAAAACTCAAGAATTTCCTGCATTTTAGCACTATTGAGAAATTTTTTAAATGGTTTAACTTTCCTGCTTCTCTCGCCATCTTTTTGCATTAATGTAACCATCCTTGTCTCTACGTAAGACTTCAATACCGTTATAAGTGCCTTTTGTGAATGTTTCGCCATTAGATTTGTTCCGTGAAGTTTTTTTGCTTCGACTGACATTTCTGTTCTTACATACAAAATAAAAAAATAAATAAAATTTTGTTATCAGTTATTTTATCATCATTTTATTAAGTTCATCTTTAGTTAATAATTTGAATGGATTCGCTAATGTTCCACCTTGAGTCACAACACCTGCCCCGGCTAATTGTGAAGAACCTGGGATAAGTACTCCATGAAATGATTTCATTGGTATCATTAATTATAGAAATAGTTGGCTTAATTAATTTTTGTCATTTATGATAAAAATAAAATTGCATAATTTAAATTTTTTTTCTCATTTTCTCATTTCTCATTTTTCATTCTGTTTTGGTTTCAGCAACTTTTCAAGTTGTTGTCTTGTCAGTAACTTTTAATTTTAACTTTGGATCAAATATTGGGTTTCCATCTTTATCTCTTCCAATAACACCATATGGTAGAAATCTTCATTTATACTAAAATAAAATTTAAATATGCTGTTTGCTCTTTTTGGAGCTCCCTAAAGTTTGTTTCACAAACATTGAGCGTTCATTGAACTCTATACCATGCGAATACAGTCATGTAAGGTGGCATGTATTCTTTACTTTGTCCCGTTGTTTGTGTATATCCTGAAACGTGATGTGTATGGTTTCCTCCTCCCTCAGTGTCACTCCAGTAACAATTTATAGCAAACTTAACGTCATCTTTAACATCATATCCTTTACCTTTTTGTCATTCCTGACCAATCCCAATATCTTTGCTTATGCCAACCCGCTTGAGATGTGCTTAAATCTATGTAGACTGTGTGCAGGTAAATTTTCACCTGTAATCGTTTTTACTTCCACCTGTTTCCTTTGAAGAGTTTGCACAATACAAAAACCTGTCGACTATTTGTTCCCATGCACCAAACACAAACATTGCTTGAGGACCTCTCACATCCATAGATGTATAAAAGAACCTACTGGGTTCATTAAATCAAACATATGAGATATTATAGATTGTCTCTTTTGAACTTAAAATATAGTGTAACTATTTCGGGTTTCTTTGATTTAATATTAATTAAAAAATATATTTCATCACTTATATTTCTAATTTTATATTTAATCATAAATGAAACCGATTTTAAAATAAATGAAACAGAGGAGGAAGAAATAAATAAAAGTGAAAATGTTCAACAAAAAATAACGTTGTTAAACCAATTACTGAAATAAAAATTTTTTCATCTGTTGAAAGAATTTAATGACTATTATGCCAATAATAAAAAAATTATTTGAAGAATTGACAACGTGTAAATTGAATAAAATGTTAAAGTTGAGGACAGAGTCCAAGACCCAGAGGGTCATGGATTCAAAATTTCAAAAATAAAAGGAGTGGTTAGTTTGAAATCTATTCCTCAATCAAGAATACACCTCATTAATGAAAATAGATGATTTAAACAAAAGAAATAGAAGAGATTGAAGAAAGAATAAATCAAATAATCAATTTCATAAATTCAAATAATCATTAGTTTCTAATTTCTTTTACTCGTTTATGAGGTCTTTGATTATGACTTCATTGATTCCATTCAGGATTTAAACAATGTTTAATTAATCGTGGAATATCTGACATCATCTATATATAAGCTTCTTTTAATAAAGAAATAATATAATTATTTTAAAATATATGTTAATTTTTTAATTTATTATAAATAAATATATTTTAATGCATCGTCTATATATAGATGTAACAAAAAAAGTCACTAAACCCTTTCACATATACTACTTATCTTTAAAAAATCAATTTCATGTTTAATTTTACAATCATATCTCTTTTAAAGTCATTTTGTATACTAAATCTGTTTAGTTTATAAATCATTGTATTCTTTTGCTGCTTGATTTTTCGTAGAGGACAAACTTCTGCATAAAAATCAATTCATTACATAGTAAGACAACATTTAATAAGTAGATGCCATTTAATTTATATGGTACTATAGATAATTATGATTAAAGTAATGGGCGCTAAAACTTTATCTGTTCCAAGTAAATTTGCGAAAATTCTTCTCCATCTTCAACTAAAATTTTGTAAAAATTTGATGTTTGAAGACAATTCGGATCCTGAAAGATTATGGCAGCAAGTCATTCGGTAAAAGCAGCCATATGAAAACAACTTTTGCTCAACGTTATAAATCATAATGCTTCAGGCATTACAAACGATATAATAATTGCGACCTTAAAAAATTCCAACCTGGAATTAATAATTAACCAAGTATTTTGAAGAAAAAGGACCTCCTCTAATAGGTTATACTGGTGCTTTGCTTTTCGAAGCGTTTTACAACTTTGTTTTGATAGCAATGATCCTCTTGTAGAAGAATAATCACGCAAACGAAGAACTCCGAAAAGCTGCATTTCACTTTTATGTTGGTTTGGAAATGATAAATGCACTACATATCCAGCTGATCAGTTATCCAATCCAGAATCGTAGAACAAGCTTTAACAACATTAAATCAACAAATATGAACTCGTAAACGATGGTCTTGGACTTCTTACCGGAGTTATTCATAACATTGCTGTTTATAATTAATTTTATTGAAAATAACGGTTTTAGATATTATCTTCCACACTCGAATAATCGTACTTTTTACCAATAATTCCTACGAAAACTCTTCAATTATGGAGTAATGACAAGAATAATCTCAGAAATGACTTTAGATTCTTCAGTTTATCATAGAACAGTCCCCTTTATCTATCAATTTTTAAGATTCACGATATTCGGTTGTTAAGAATCGTACGTTTAATGTCTTGCGTGTCCTTAAAAAACGAGGAATTGAAGTAGATCCGAACGAAATCATCAATAGATTGCCCAATTTACTAAACAAGACCCTTACAATGCTGTGATTGCCGCAGCTTTGACATACATTCGCAAAGTCCCTGAAGTTTCTCAAGAAATTATTCAAACAATTAATAGAAGTTAGTAATAAAAATCAGAAAAATAGTATCGAAGTCTTTAAGTATCTCTATAAAGAGAGTCGATACCTTGTCACAAGAGAACATTTCTTTGTTAGTTGAAGCTTTACATCGAAGCAGCTACAAATGGCCCAGCAAAACTCGGTGAATACGCTTTCCAATCCTTACAGAATCACCACAGCTAATATTTGGGATGAAAGACTTATCGACGCTTATATGAAATTCCTTCAAGAACCAAGGACGATCAAAGTTTCTATTGAAGGGCTTTGTAAGTGCCTTGAAATTTCTGAGGGATCAGGGCATAATCAGGATGTTATTGATCGTTTATCTGAAATACTGAATATCTTCTCAGAATTAATGCAAAATGATGATGAAGTTGTATCCCATTTTAGCTCACAGATATTAGAGAGGCTAGAACAATTATAGATTTTATATATTTATTTTATAGAGAATAAAAATCATGAAATTTTTCTTTCATTTTATAACTTTTTCGTATTGTATATAGAAATTAAAATCTTGGTAGATGTTTTTTTGTAGAAAAAAATTTATTGTAGATTCAAGAATTTTAGTAAAATGAATAAGTGTCGTATTTACTGACTTTCTCGCAGACACCACCAGCAGCCTTGATCTTCTTCTCAGCTTCTCAGAGAAGTCCTTAGCGCGAACAACGAATGGGATCTTTGGAAGTTCACCACGAGCAAGAAACTTTGAAGAAACCGTTCTGGACGCAGTCGATAACTGGGACAGCATCGCCCTTTCTTGGCAGCAGCAGCCCTTGACGCGAACTTCTTCTGGAACAAGTGTCCAAAGCTTATCAACGTACTAATTGTTGGCTCATACTCGTCAGCCGGTTCTTCATGAGGTGGAGATGGCGCATACCAACCTTGCCGAAGTAACCTGGGTGGAAGCGGTCGAACTATGTTCTCTGATGGTGCTGACCACAGCACGACCCGTGGCCACCTGGCGAAACACGTGCTTACCGACACGACCGAAACCATAGAGACTTGACCACGAGTTTTCTGCTCTTGTGGAAACGAGTTGGCATTAGAAAAAGGATCGCCCAAACCGCACTCATTTTCTATCGTCTTCAAGACAAACTAAATTTTTTTACGGAAAAAGATTGCAAATTTAATGAAGCTTCAGTGCGTACATCATTGTTCGTAAGCAAAATTATCGTTTTTCAAGAAAAATTCGAAATGGTCAATCTAATTTTATTGGATATCTTGCCGTAATATGAATTTTCATTGAAAGCAAACAAAGTTTAGTTAACTCATTTACTTTTTAACCTGAAATTTGAACTTTTGAAAATATTCAATTTTACAAAAAGCAGTCCAAGATACTATAGCGATTAAATCTATTTACTAGATCATAAAAGTTTCAATCCTAAGAGATGATCAATAGAAAAGTTGATTTAGGAAAAATATTCAAAAATTGAATTTAAAAAAGTAAAACCAGATTATGCAAATCTGTTTTAGCTCAATGAATCAGAATTATTTGAAAAAAATGAAGTTGATTCTAAGACCAACCTTGAAATAGTAGGTAATTGTATTAGAGAACACGGAATTGTCTCTTGTCAGCACCGAACAGCGGCTGGCTTAACGTGGATAACGTTGAAGTGGACTGTCTTGGAGAGTGGGCGGCACTCAGCGACTGTAACAAGATCACCTTCCTTGACGAGGAAAGCTGGGGAAAATGTGAGCTGGGGATCTTTGTGTGCGGCTTCTCTGAAACGCTTGTACTTGCGGATCCACTGAAGGTAGTCCGGCGGATGATGATTGTGCGGCGCATCTTGTAGAAACGACGACACCACGGAGGACGGCCACGGATGGAGACTGTGCCTGTGAATGGACACTTGGCATCAGATGTACTCACCGACTCTTCAGCTGTCTTGGGTGTTTCGATCTTAAGACCGATGGACTTGACGTAGCGCTGCTTCTTCTCAGCGTTAGCATGCTTCTTGGAAGCAAGAAAGTTGTGGCTGCTTCTGGAAGGCCACGCTCTGTCTGAACTGTGGACATCAAAAACAAAGGCCATGACTTTCGTAAACTTCAGAATTTTTTTGTGAATCTTGAAAAAAGAAAAAGAAAAGTTAGGGGCAGGCCGGATCGAACCGACTACCCAGGGATCTGCAATCCCTTGCTCTACCGGTGAGCTACTACCCTTTTACATATATTTAAATGTCATAAATTATCCCGTAATACATTAAAAACCTAACAATAACTTTTTCATTAGAAAATCTCATATTAGATCTGAAGGTTCAACTCTTAATAAAGTAATCAATTTACTTGATATCATTTAGAATCGCGATAAAAATAATTCTTACTTCACATCAAATTTGAATTGAAATATCACACTCTAATTCAAAAAAATTATTTTAAAAAAATCTATTTTCTTCAAATTTACCCAAAATAAGAACATATCTTACTAATTTCTATGCATTGTTACAGTTGCATTCATTCAAGTAATCAAAACTATATACTCAACTACTTTTCGTCATCATCAACAAGAAGGTTGATTTGTTTGATTTTTCGGAGTTTTATATGGACCTTCTGTTGGTCTTCAGTGTTTTGTTGTATCATTATCATTACCGTAATCTGAATTGCTATTTCAGTCTGTTGGATTGGGGAAGAAATAGACAGTAGATGTACTCTTGATAATTTGTGAGTTGGTTTTACTGTCTCATCGCCTGAAACTCTCTTCTTTGCCTTCATACTGACACAGATTAAAATTGCGAAACAGGCCAACATACAAATACTGAAGCCACCAATGCTATACCAAATAATAGCACCTGTGGAATACCATCAAATCATAAATAATTACTTAGAAGGATCAAAATAAATTCGAAAATAAAATTGAATCATTATCAATTATTCCAGAAAACAGTTACTTGTTTGTGGAAGTTTCACTGTAATGTAGAATGA